GAGAAAAATACTGTATCTTTAAATTAGGAGTAGCTGAATAATGAATCTTGGGCAGTGAAAAGGCTAATGTGCTGTGGAAGAGAAGGAGTTTAATCTAATTTAGTTGGAGGGTGTCTGTCTGTGGTGTTGTTTTCTGGACTGTGGGAATAGAGGAGGGAAGCTGCCCCAGTGAATGGTTCCTCCCGAGCCAGAATCAGTGGGGAGTCCCTTAGATGCCACTGATCCGAAGCCAGGCCATGAAAAGGGGATTAAAGAAATGTTCTGATTTGCAATTCACACTAATGCACCCCGTCGAACCTTTGGTAATATTTCAAACCACATTTCAAGGGAAGTGCCCTTAAAATAGCCAGCTAAATTGTATTAGAGCAATACTATACAACCCACTCATCCATTTATGATTTGTTTTTGTTTTTAATTCTTTTAACTGGTGGTGGTGGTGGCTTTCTAAGGTAATTAAAACTTTTGTGCATTGTGAATATTCGCACTTGCATGGGAATATTTCTCAGTATGCCTGTCTTATTAGGCAGACATGTTTATTTAAATATTGGAGGAAAACTGCTACAAAGATTCTGTGGCTAGGAAAAAATAAGCCCATTTGGTTTAAAAAGTAAATGTTTTTTTCTGTATGCCATTTAATTTTATGAATATCTAGTGGAAATTCAGTAAGAAAGACAGGCTTATAAAATGGTCAAAAACAGTTACCAGCTTTCTTTTTTTGTATGCGATCTTTTTCTTCTACAGTTCAAACCTTCAGTATGGGATTTTTTTTAATATATATGTTAGAATTTGTTACCAGAATGAAACACATATCAGATGTAAGCAGTTAAAAAGTTTGTGAATGAATGAATACAAATATAGATGAGGATAGGATTACTGAGTGTGACTAACATTAAACTGATTTCTATTTTTGTGTAATAAACAGCTGGCCAAAAATATTAACCTGACAAACAGTTATAGTACTTACTTAAACATAAGACTGTAAATATAATTTAATGTTCTGTTATAACACACTATTGTTAATCATAAGTAATTTAGACTTTTTTACTAAAAATCTTTAATGTATTAATTAACTCTTCAACTCCCCAAGCCTATCATTTCATTTCTATTTACTGCTGAAGTGTCAGAACATTTTATCTCAAATGGATTATTTGGGTTTTCTTTAATCCCATTTCAGAAAACCTTGCCTAGCACTGTAATTTCCATTGACTCTAACATGTATAGAATTGATGCAACTTTGATTTTCACCATTACCCATATCAAAGTATTTTATTACACTGTCACTGCAATAGATTACACAGCATTAAACTTTGCCATTGCAGGGATGAGGGGTGGTGGTGTCTTTTTTCTTGTCTTGTTTATGGTTTGCTTTACCTACAAAATACTTAGTTATGGTTTGAATTATGACATGCCTTATTAAATATTCAGGTTTTTTAATCTTTTGCTTACGGGACAGAAGAAAAGCTGGACTTTAAGATACAGATGATTCCTCTGCACATTTTTGGGAGGTGGGGAGATGGATAGCTAGAGGGAGAAATGCATCTTTCCTGTGAGTTGGCACATTATTTGAAATCATGTTTAATTATAAAGTTTCATTAAAAATCTTTTGCTTAAAATTTTAGAAGCCTAATAAGATTTCCATTAATTTAAACATATCACTATTCCCACAACGGCCCAAATGCTTTCTTTTTCCTCTTTCATCCATGGTTAAATATGTAAATAAAATGTCTAAAGTCATTCTTCAAAGAAGACAAAAGAAAAAAGAGCTGAGGGAAAAGACAGCCATAAAATTCCTCCCAATTCTCCATAACATTTGCCAGAGGGGGGCCAACTCCTAGCCAGGGCCTAGCAGCAGGGGTGCCTGGCTGCTCCATAGAATCACACATCTCAAATCCCACACACAGGAGAAAAAAAATAAAATAAAATATCTTTTCAGCTGGAACCATCAAAAGGCTCTTTTCATTTATTAGTTACAGAGGTATCTTCCAGTTGCTTATTTCTCAGCGCTCTCATTTTTCTATAATAATGTCCTATTTGTTAGTTTCACTGACTCAAGCTCGTTTAATGGGAGATACCTCTAGATAGCTCTTTAAAAATATAGAAAGTAAAATAAATGTTCTAAAGCAGGATGCATTGGCTAAAATAATGGCTAGAAAAACAAGACTAATTTAAATTGTACATAAAGATCAATTAAGAGAGACACAACTGCAAAGGCTGAGAGTTCCCCCTGTATTTTTCCCCTCTCCCTATCATTTGTATTCTTTTTGCCTCTTAAGAGAAAAAGGTTGCTCTCAATGCTATAGAAGAAAACAGGTCATGTTTTATTTCACATATTTTTTCTAGATTAATGTGAATGGTGATATAATATGCTTTGCAAAAATACTTGTTGAAAAAAACCAAAACAACCAAGCTTCCAAACAATCAAGTTGAATAAAACAAATATTGAATATGTTCATCTTACGTATTATTTAAATTCTACTTTTTATTATTATTTAAATTCTACTTTTCAAAGTAGAATTTACTTGTCCCTTGTAAAAGCTTTCCCCACGCTTCCCTGCTACCCCCAGCTGAGCTCTCTAGAAGAAGAATCAGGATGCATATAAATACTAAGAAAACAGGCTTAGATTAATGAAGAATGGAAATGCCCCAACACTCACTCTCTCTCACGCATCCATACACAGAGACACACTAAAATAAATAAAGCTCTTTTTTTGCACATAACACTGCCTGCTTTTGTAACATTCCCTGAGGAATCTAAAAATGCCCAAGGAAAGGTCAGCCCCTAAGACCAATACTTTATACATTTGATCTCCTTGGTTCACTGAAAAGCCACAAAAAGGAGGACTACTGTTTTTAAACATTTTTATGATGGCTTTTACTTCTAGGTAAAAACTAGCCACATCTTCAGGGCTTTCAAAGACAAGCATTAGCCCTGTTTTGTTGTCCTTGCTTGGATCCGTTTCACCCTTATCACAATTGAGGAAGCCAACAGTTTCCTTTCTAGAGCCTGGTGGGGTATTAACTCTGACCCTGCGGGATTTGGTAGTTTCCAGGAGAATCCGTGTTCATTTCGATAAGAAACAGGCACTAATGGAGAGGAGCACAGTTTGTGTGGGTGAGCATGAATGAAGAGAAAGAGAGATTTTCCTTCTTCATTAATATGTTCGCTAAAACTAGGCTCAAAGGAAGAAAAAAAAAAAAGTAGAGCTAATCTTTTGACTTCTGATCTCGGTGCTCCTTCTCAGTCTGTAAAATTGTGAGTTATAGTTTGGCTTGGGATTTAACTTCCTCCTTCTAGCTCTGATAGACCAATAAGCAAAATAAACCTCAAAGCTTAACTTAAAAAGTAACACAACTCACTTCAAAATGATCTCTGTCTCCAAAATCTGTAAGTATCTTTTTTACAGTGGGTAAAGTAACTGTCCCAAGGGTATGTCTCTAGTCCTCCTAAGGATTCTTATTTAAAAAAAAAAAAAAAAAAGGGGGGGGGAGAAAAAAAAAAGGAAAAAAAAGAAAAAACAAAAAGCACAAGCTACTTTTCAAGTGATGCCATACTGTGATTAAAAACATAATCAGGTACTTTTTCAGCAATCCTGCCTGTCCTGTTCGTTTAGGAATTCGAGACAAAGCACGACATTTGAAAACAGCTGAGATTCTGGGCTGAAAGCAACCATATTTTATGACCCTGGCAGCGAAGAGTTTATAGCACTCGCCATAAAATGCATCCTCCTCCCCACATCCTCCCTGCTAAAGCATTGCCCCCCCTCCAATAAAGGCAGGCGAGGAGGCACCACCTTCAACCCTCTTATTAGGAGACACGGAGGCTGCAGCACTCGCTCTCCCTGGCGTCCTACCTGAGCGAGGGAGGTGAGGCTGACGCCTTCTAGAGAAAAGATCTTGTTAAACTTTCAAGGGAGGGCAACGTGAGGGAAAGGAGAAAGGAAGGAAAGAAAGACAGAAGGAGAGAGAAACAAACGGGGCTTTTTCTAATCTGTGCTGATCAAGGAAAACCTGTAGGGGTCCTTAAGGAGGTTTCAAGGCGTTCCGAGTGATTGGAAAGTAATCACCGTGTCAGCTTCACCTTTCTCATGCAAAGTGGATGTCGTATGCGAGGCGGATCCTGCACAGGTTTTGTTGGTTTTTTTTGTTTTTTTTATTTTATCCTTGGACTCAACCGCCCCCTAAAAGCCCCAGCTGCTCCAGCCCCAGGAGTTCCTGCTGATGCGGGGGGAGCAGAGCCGGCACAGAGACAACCCGCACGCAGGAGCCAGCCCCGCTCTGCAAAGCGCAGCGGAGCCGACCTATTGCAAACCCAGACCAGAGGGCGGCGAGAAGGGGCGGGGGGGGGGGGGGGGGGGGGGAGATTTTTCACCCCCCCTCTTCAATGGCTTAGATATTTCCTCCTCCTCCTCCTTTATTCTACACTCGGATAAACCAATCCCCACCTCTCGGCAAGAAACTACGGAGCTGTGACCCGTTGTAGGAAGAGGAAAATCCCTGGAGAAAGCCGCTGCACCAAAAAGCCGCCCGGGACATGTGCAAGTTGGAGCAGTGATCGCCCGGATCTGCCCGGACCCAAACCGCTCCGGCACCCTCTGCCGCGCTGCGAGCCAGCTCAGCGGGGAGGAGGAAGAGGAGGAGGAAGGGTGGTGAAAAGACGGAAGGCAAAAGTGGAAGCCCGGGGAAAAGAAAGTTGCCGGGCTCGCCGCAGTAAGTTTGGCGCATCTGTGGATTGGGGGTACTTTTTCTTTTCCTGGCTGTTTACGAAGTTGCCTGCCCGCCTCCCTGCGCTGCCGGCGGGGCCGATGCCGAGCGGCCCGGGCTATGCTGACCTGTGTGCCGCCGTCCCCCGCCGCCCAGCTCCCTCGCCGAGGTCGGGGGCGATGCTGTCCCAGATAGGAGCCGTGTGGCCGCTGAAGTGACCGCCGGCTGCCCGCCCCGCACGCCCCCAGCGCCGGCGGGAGGGAGGGAGGAAGGGAGGGAGGGAGGGAGCCGCGCTCCGGCCCCACGCCCGGCCGCCGCCGCCGCGATGGGGCCAGCGGCGAGGAACTTGGTCCGGACGCTCCTGCTGCTGTGCTGGCTGACCTGCTTCTGCGCGGGGATCAGCTCCATAGACATTGACCGCCCCGGTGACGGGAGGTGCCAGCCGATAGAAATCCCCATGTGCAAGGATATAGGGTACAACATGACGAGGATGCCGAACCTGATGGGACACGAAAACCAAAGGGAAGCTGCCATTCAGCTGCACGAGTTTGCCCCCTTAGTGGAGTACGGTTGCCACAGCCATCTGAAATTTTTCCTCTGCTCCCTCTATGCCCCTATGTGTACGGAGCAGGTTTCTACACCGATCCCAGCCTGCAGAGTTATGTGTGAGCAGGCGAGGCTGAAATGCTCTCCCATTATGGAGCAGTTTAATTTTAAATGGCCAGACTCCTTAGACTGCAGCAAACTGCCCAACAAGAATGACCCCAATTACCTGTGCATGGAAGCCCCCAACAACGGATCAGATGAGCCGCCCAGAGGATCCAGCATGCTGCCACCCATGTTTCGTCCACAGCGGCCCAGCAGTGGCCACGATCTGCAGCAGCATAAGGACAGCCTCAGCAGAACCTCCTGTGAAAATCCGGGCAAGTTCCACCATGTGGAAAAGAGTGCTTCCTGCGCACCACTCTGCACTCCAGGGGTTGATGTTTACTGGAGCAAGGATGACAAACAATTTGCTGTCATTTGGATTGCCATCTGGTCCATTCTGTGCTTCTTCTCCAGTGCTTTTACTGTACTCACTTTTCTGATAGATCCTCAACGTTTCAAGTACCCCGAGAGGCCCATTATCTTCCTCTCAATGTGCTACTGTGTCTACTCAGTGGGGTACATTATTCGCCTCTTTTCAGGTGCTGAAAGTATTGCCTGTGATAGGGACAGCGGCCAACTCTATGTCATCCAGGAAGGACTGGAGAGCACTGGCTGCACCATTGTGTTCCTGGTTCTGTATTACTTTGGTATGGCAAGTTCCTTGTGGTGGGTAATCTTGACTTTAACTTGGTTTCTAGCAGCTGGGAAAAAATGGGGGCATGAAGCAATTGAAGCAAACAGTAGCTACTTTCATTTGGCAGCATGGGCCATTCCAGCTGTGAAGACCATAATGATCCTAGTTATGAGAAGGGTGGCTGGAGATGAGCTGACAGGGTTGTGCTATGTTGGAAGCATGGATGTGAATGCCTTGACGGGGTTTGTACTCATTCCTTTGGCTTGTTACCTAATCATTGGCACTTCTTTTATTCTTTCTGGTTTTGTGGCCCTTTTTCATATCAGGAGGGTGATGAAAACAGGTGGAGAAAATACTGACAAGTTGGAGAAACTTATGGTCAGGATTGGTGTCTTCTCAGTCTTGTATACAGTGCCTGCAACTTGTGTGATAGCTTGCTATTTTTATGAAAGACTGAATATGGATTATTGGAAAATTGTGGCAACTCAACAAAAATGCAAGATGAACAATCAGACTAAAAATTTAGACTGCATGATGAATAACTCTATTCCAGCAGTAGAAATTTTTATGGTCAAAATCTTTATGTTATTAGTTGTGGGCATTACTAGTGGTATGTGGATCTGGACTTCCAAGACACTTCAGTCCTGGCAAAATGTTTGTAGTCGAAGATTAAAGAAGAGAAGTAGGAGAAAACCTGCAAGTGTTATTACAAGTAGCGGAATCTACAAAAAACCTCAACATCCACAGAAAACTCACCTTGCAAAATATGAATCAACGCTACAACCACCCACTTGTGTGTGACCAGGTTTTAGAAAAGCCAGTATCTCACCTTACAGACTTACAAATGTCCACAGTAGCAGCCAGAAATTAAAAAAATAAATGGTGCTGGTTTTTGTCAGAAAACAGTTTAATATCTCAAGGCAAAAAATGTATCATGCTGAATTCAGGACCTGGTGAAAAACTGAAGGTAAATGTACTTATGGAAAGGTTTTCAGTGAAAGAAATATTGTGAACTAAAACAGTCTCTTCTGTTACTAATTTGTAGTTAAGTACTTCATCCAGCCCCCAGATTTTATTTCTTTTTTTTTTTTTTTTTTTTAATTCCCCACACCCTATTTAACGTTTTCATGTAGCTGAGCTGGATTTCCTACAAGTTTCTGAGTAACAAGGTATAGTCAAGTTTTATGGAGCAATGACTTTATTTTAAAAGTGCCCAAGTGAGCACTGTCTCCTTAGGGAAACTAAGGTCGCAAAGATGCCTATCCTCAGTGAGTACGCTATCTGTGAAAGCAACTTCCGCACTAACTTTTTTTTTTTTAAAAAAAAAAAAAAAAAAGATAAATCCTTTCCAGCTCAACTCAGCCTAGTGGGTTTTGGAGTGCCTAAAAATAGGTTCAGTCTATAACGCTCACCAATATTCTTTCACTAAAAGAGAAACTTCCTGCACCAGACACAAACTTTGTGAATAAGAATAATGTGCAATACATTTTTTTTCTTACCATGACATGAAAAGAGAAACAAGTATTTTGCTGTACATAAAGACAACAAAAGAAATCTCTTAACAAAAGAACTAAGAGGTCTAGTCCTCAGAAACCCTTTAGTGTTACATTTTGTGGCTTTTTAATGGAAATCAAGCCAATGTTATACACGTTTGGACTGATTTGTGCAAAAAAAAAAGGGGGGGATCAATTCAAAGAGACCCAAAGGGCTTATTGACTCTTTCTATTGTTAAACAAATTCTCAGTATGAATAGATCAAGAAGCACTAGATTCTGCAAAGGGAAGCTTTGTATAGAGTGATGCTCTTTACTGTGCTGGGGGTGCACAGTTTTGTGCTGTATATATTTGTAATATACAATTATTTTTCATGCTCCACTATTTTATTAAAAATAAAATATGTTCTTTAGTTTGATAATTTTGTGTGTTCTAAACTTTCTCTGATGTGCTTTGTGGTTAATAAACTTGTTTTCTCAATTATTTGATAAAAGCACACTTTGAGTATAATAGTTGTTATACTTGCCTGCAAGTATAAGCAGATAGAACAATAATTTACTCAAAAGAAATTGCAAGTTGGAGTTAAATAAATGAATTTTAGAGTTGTATCTTTCTGTGAACCTCTGCAACTTATAAAACTGAATGGGCAGAAGCTTTAGTGATGTAAAAAAGCTGTAGTGATGTAGAGTAGTACCGTGTTTACAAAGCACTGAGATTACAACAATGATCCTTGGTTAACACCCCTTTAAAATTTGCATAGGGTAGGTTCAGCATGTTAAAGATCGCTGGCTCACTTCAGCGCAGTTTGAATACAATTCAGTCTCGACTCTTCCGGGATTTTTTTTCCCCTTCTAACATGATTGAAACTGTCACTACTATTTGGGAAAAGACTTCTGGAGGATCAGGAGAAAGAAGAGGGGAAATGTAAATACAGAATTTGAATACTACTTTAGGAAAGCTAACTGATACAGTTAAAATTGTAAATATATTTTCAAAAAGTTTTTAGCGGAGCGTGATTTTGTATGAACCTGCAGTTTTCCATGCAGTTGACTAACAGGCTGTGTGATTACCTGGTGTGATAGTAATATAACCTCACTTCCTCACACAGGCTGTTCTAGAAAACCCTTTATCAGGTATCTCATCATAGAAAGAAGAGAGGTTTTAATGGACTTTGGTAGAGTGAGGATCCCTGTGACAGTTATCATGTGTCTAGGAACTTTATAACAAAAGGATCTTTTTTAGTGGTCTGATTTTCAATTTATCTGTGCAGTGCTACAGATGAAATTTTGTCTTCTTGTAGTCTTTTTAAATGTTTCTAGCAATGACTAGGAACTTAAATGACAAAAATGGTGTTGCAGGTATTATTGATTATGTCTAAAATGTGCATGTGCAAAGCAGCTTTCAATATAAAATTTATCTTTTGGGGCAAGAGGAAATATATTTTTCCTTCTTTGTGCCTATGTGCCGCTGTTTGATATGTAGCTTTTAGATGCCCTGGAAGTTAATCCTTCTGGAGCCAAAGTAGGGCATTGCACTAAACAAATCCACTTCTGAAACTCCTGAATTAATGCCTTTGCATCTGTATATGTTCTAGTGAAGATCAATTTCATTAGATCCCAAGAAATACAAAGTTTTAAAATAATCTGTGTATGACAGATCGCTACAGGAATCCTTCAAATATCTGTTTTGTTATTATGCTTGTCATCTTGCCAGTAATGTATCTGCTTTGCACAAATTTCATATCTGACGTGAAGGTTAGTGCTGGTTTTACTAGACACAGATTTGTTTGGAGAATAGTTTCAGGCTTTAGTCTGAAATACATTAGCCACTGAAATAAACATCTCACTATTTTTGTAGAATATAGAAAATGATTTGCTTTCATTGCTGATCTTGTATTTTTAGTCCGCTACTAGGATTCTGGAAGAGAAAAAAAAATGAAGAAAGATGTTGAGCAGTGGCTGAATTCCTGCTGCCATTCTGAGTTTAATCAGTTGTCAGCTTAGGCCCTTTACTGTCACCAGAGCAGAACTGCGAGTTCTCCTGTGAAAATGCCAAATATGAGTGCTTGGCTAGATGCATCATGTTACATGTTCTTGCTAAACTGCAAACTAATAATTCAGATTTTATTTCAGCTTTTCAGTTATTCAGGAATTTTTAATTTTTAATTTTTTTATTTTTTTTTACTGGTAAACAAAATATATTCTTCAAGTATATATCATTGCATCAGGACTAGTGTACTGTAAATGCAGTAGAGTATAAAGATTGTCTTCAAGGACATCTTAAGAATGAATTAATTCAGAAATTGTACTCCTTACTGTCCTGGAACTCCTAACAGTCTTGGCAGTTTAATATTGAAGTTGAGTTCCTACTGAAGGAATTGGAAGCTTACAACTGTTAAGGGAAAGTGTTATACTTATTTTCACAACAATTCAGTTATTTAATATAAGATTATTAATAATTTAACAGAGAACTTTATTCTTGTCGGAGAAGTCTGCACATTAGTTAAATGATGATGATGATGATAATACCAAAAAGTCTTTAAGAAAATATCACAAAAGTATTAAACAATATTAAACTTCACAACAATTTTATATTTTAGCAAATTCATGTTCGTATTTTTATTTGTTGAATTTCATAGGATTTTTCTCTAGGTACTGTCAAGGCCTATTGGGTATTTCTTGTCAGTAGACTTTTAAGAAAAGTATCTATATGTGGGTATATTAACAATTGAGTCACTCTGCAGCAAACTTGTTGAGGAAGGAATGCAAGTCCAGAATGTCCTTCTGGAAAGCATATTTTATCACAGTACAGTGGCATATATCAGATAAAAATATCTCAAAAAAATAATCATTCTGTAGTGTATACATACACTGTAAATCAAGAATCAGATGATTGCCACAGGCTGGTGTATGAGTGCTCTGTTCTCTCCCGTTGGAGCTATAGGCTACCCATAGGGTAGAAATTGTCTCAAACTGTGTAAATTGTGACAATACAGATTATGTCTCAACATTCAGGTAGAGATTCATATGTTAGGGCCAGGTAGAAGAAAGGCAGAAAGTTCCTCTTTTTTTGGAAGGGTACATGGGTAGAATACTTCTGTTTACTAGGGAGAGATTAATGAGGTAAGAGTATGAGATCAGCTGGGAAAAAAAATGGGATTCAGGAAAAAAATCCACAGAATTGTATTTACAATATTAGTCTTGTTTCTCAGTGAAATGCCAATGCTTCTTACAAACAAACATAAAATTAAGCTCAGTAGTTTCAAGGTTTCATTTTAGGTGTGACGTATTAGGACACTTTGAACAGTACAGTGCAAGCATCATGGCTGAAAAGATGTGAGGAGCTCAGTCAAGGAATGTTCAGATCTCTTATCAGATTTTTCCCAAAGTAGCATTTCATATGTATGTTATTATGAAGCCATTATTCACATATGGCTGTCATCCCATGGCTTCAAACTATATGAGAAGCCCAGTAACAACAATGTCTGTAACATACACCCTTCTTATTCTAGCACTTAAAATCCATGGCTTCAAGGGGATAGTTCTGTAATGATGGGATATTATGTGCTCAGGTGGTCTTTTGATGACAGGTGGTCTCCAACAACAGATGGCCTCAAAGGAGGAACTTCAGTGCATTTTAGTTTAAAACATTTACACATTTCTTTAAAAAAAATGAAATGTTATCCTTGTGTAATGTTCTTAAGTATTTTAGACAGAGTAGCCAAGTTATTAACACTGACAGATGATAAATCAGGGCATCCTTTAAAAGGTGGGTGATGGTGATTATGTGGTCTTGGAGCTTGCTTTGATCAGAAGTGACAGGCCTGTAAGGTCTGTGCCACTCAATCCCCCCTGAAGGGAGATCAGCACCTGTTTGCACTTTGAGGCTCCTCTACCTCCCACTGCCTTCCAGCACTATTTCATCTTTTTTAACACACTTGATGTTGATTGGCTTTAAGCAAAGTCATTATTCATTTACAAAACACTCCCTGATGGAGCTTACTTAAAATTGTATTTCAGTAGCAGTGTTTGTGCTGTTGCAGTTAAGGTCGCAGCAATATTCCATTACAATAGCTTTCTTTTCAGTGAGCTGCAAGTTAAAATCAGCCTGGGTGCTGATATTAACCTGGTTTCATTTATTATTTTTTTTTTTGTCCAAACAATAGTATGTATTGCCCAAGTTCAGCTTGAGCTTTCTGTATTTTTACACATTTATCCAGAAGAGACATAGGATCAGGTTTGTGAAACAAACAGGTCCTGGTTTGGTAGATCAGATTTTAGCTCAATAAATAGCTTTGTCTTACTTGTGAAATCTAATTGATATTTCTAGAAAATAGCACAAAATAAAACTTTGGCTTCGTGAAGGACTGTATGACAAATCACAGAAATGAGTCTCCACTAATTATTTAGTGTTGTATATGCAGGACTTTGGTGTGGACTTGCCCATCTAGATGCAAATGCACACTGCAGTCAGCGGGATCTCATTAGTTAATTCTAGTGTGTCTGAGAACAGATGTGGTTTGTGCCTGTCTGGTCTGGGAGCCCAATTCTGCTTTTCCTGTAGTAGCAAAGTTAAAGCTTTGGGGAGTTGTACATCAAAGGCAGGACTAAGTGATCATTGTGTATATTTGTAAGGCATTGTTTAAAAAGGAATTCCTTCAATTTGTTGTCACTAGTTTCTTCCTTCTATTCTTCAAGATCTCCTCATAGATCTGCTCTACTGAAATCAATGGGTGTCCAACTAATTTCAGTGTATGCTTTGAATCAAACTTCCTATCTCAGGGAAAACATGTGCTACATGAAAAGTCATTATTTTAAACTTTTTTTTCCACATCAGAGCATTTTTTTAAAGTCTTGATATGACATAAATTCATGATACGGAAAAAAAACAGTGAGTGAAATTATTTCAATTATATTTTCAAAATACATTCATTTCAAAGTACATTGCAAACCAAGTGTCATTTCAAAATGAAATTCAGAAATATTGGGTTTGGATCATGTTGGAATGGAGTGGAGTGGATTTTTTTTTTTCTTTTTAAGTTTATTCAGCCTTATTGAGAACACTGCATTTATATTTATTGCAGAATGCTCAATATTAATAGATCTGCATTTTCTGCTGGCAGGGTACCCCATCAAAAATTCTTCAGCCAATTTACATCTTTGTTCATGAGTCTACCTTTTCCAAGGGGCTCAGGCCTACAGCATCCTTGGGAGCTAATGATGAACCGCAACATTTTGAATTGAGCCCACAATGTGCTCCTTGTTTCCTCCTTTCTTCACTGATCAGCACTTCTGTTCCCCTTCCCCTCTCTTCCACTGCTGATCAGTCTTTCATCATCTGCATGTGACTTGCTTCTCTTACCCTCCTCTCAAGTGATCCCATCCTTTTAGTCTCTAATCTGCCCACACACAGCTTTCTGTGGTACTGGCCAGTAGCTATGACTGCTTTGAGCTTTTTTGTTCAACATAAACGAAAAG